TAACCTGATACTGTTCTCTGATGGATCTAGGACGGGTGTATATCTCCTGGTATCTATGAATACAGAGTAACCTTATACTGGTCTCTGATGGGTCAAGGACGGATGGATTTATATCTCCTAGCATCTATGAATACTAAGTTACCTAATACTGATCTCTGATGGATCTAGGACGGGTGAATTGATATCTCGTGGTATCAATGAATACTGAGTAACCTGATACTGTTCTCTGATGGGTCAAGGACGGGTGTATATCTCCTGGTATCTATGAATACTAAGTAACCTGATACTGGTCTCTGATGGGTCAAGGACGGATTGATTGATATCTACTGGCATCTATGAATACTGAGTAACCTGATACTGGTCACTGATGGGTCAAGGACGGATGGATTAATATCTCCAAGTATCTATGAATACTGAATAACCTGATACTGATCTCTGATGGATCTAGGACGGGTGTATATCTCCTGGTATCTATGAATACTAAGTAACCTGATACTGATCTCGGATGGATCTAGGACGGGTGGATATCTCCTGGTATCTTTGAATACTAAGTAACCTGATACTGATCTCTGATGGATCTAGGACGGGTGTATATCTCCTGGTATCTTTTAATACTGAATAACCTGATACTGATCTCTGATGGATCTAGGACGGGTGGATTAATATCTCCAAGTATCTATGCATACTGAATAACCTGACACTGATCTCTGATGGATCTAGGACGGGTGTATATCTCCTGGTATCTATGAAAACTAAGTAACCTGATACTGATCTCTGATGGATCTAGGACGGGTGGATATCTCCTGGTATCTTTTAATACTGAATAACCTGATACTGGTCTCTGATGGATCTAGGACGGGTGGATTGATATCTCCAGGTATCTGAACAACTACGACAGCTTCAGAAGATTTTTTCTCCGTCGTATCTACCTCTGTTGCCTGTGAAAACAAAAAAATGTTAATTTGTTATTTGATTATAATAAAACACAAAAATGTTTACCTTTATGGTAAGTTCCAAGATTCCCTTAGATCTAGATTCTAGAGGAAGCTCTTTTATCCATAACAACTCCACCTCCCCTGTAGTACTTTTCTCTCCGAGGTTAAAATAGTCCTTCCCTAAACATAATTTGGATTTCTGCATCAAACTAAAATTACAACATTTGCTTGTGAATAAACATAACATTTTGCACACCTTTCATACAGGGTTACCGACAAAGGACTGTATAGAGTTTATACTTGAAGCATTTTAAAATACTGCATCTGCATATTCTTGGATGTTTACCCCTTAAAACATATTCTTGGAGGTTTACCCCTTTGAACATTTATTCTTGGAGGTTTACCCCTTTAAACATTTATTCTTCGGAGGTTTACCCCTTTAAACATATATTCTTCGGAGGTTTACCCCTTTAAACATATATTCTTCGGGGGTTTACCCCTTGAAACATATATTCTTCGGAGGTTTACCCCTTTAAATATATTTTGCTCTATATTTTCTTGGAGGTTTACCCCTTTAAACATATATTGCTCTGCATATTATTGAAGGTTTACCCCTTTAGACATATTTTGCTCTGCATATTCATGGAGGTTTACCCCTTTAAACATATATTGCCCTGCATATTCTTGAAGGTTTACCCCTTTAAACATATATTGCTCTGAATATTCTTGGAGGTTAACCCCTTTAAACATATATTGCTCTGCGTATTCTTGAAGGTTTACCCCTTTAAACATATATTGCTCTGCATATTCTTGAAGGTTTACCTCTTTAAACATATATTGCTCTGCATATTCTTGGAGGTTAACCCCATTAAACATATATTGCTCTGCATATTCTTGGAGGTTTACCCCTTTAAACATATACTGCTCTGCATATTCTTGGAGGTTAACCCCTTTAAACATATATTGCTCTGCTTGCAAACTATGAAATCTGCACGCACACAGCCTTTCTATATAAACTTTGCACACATTCTAATTCTTGTCAGTTACTATGTTAGTTTAAAAAGTGAAGAAACAAATGTAAGTAAATGTTTCTTTTTCTCCTCTTATTTCAATATTTAACCTTTCATACTGTCTGTTTTCTTATACTAATGATTCCTTGCAACTGTAAACTTCTCTCTTACTTCAATCATTAAACCCTTTTTCCGTAGTTTTTTTTTACATAACTCAAAAAGTATTGGCTTGTAATGTTGCTGTTGAAATTTTTTGACTTTTCCTAAATAACCATAGCCCTTTCTTTAGGTCCAAAACAGGGCTTTTATACTAAATGCCTGAGTCCTCAGACACACTGCCTAATTGACTACTTTTTCCTAAAATTTTTTTCGACCCCCTTTCAGTTGTCAGATTTTGAAAATTTTCAGCTTTTTGGAAAGCCTTAGACATAAGAAAATGGATTTTGCAAAGAAATTTTTGCAAACTATTTGCATACAACTCGTCACAAGAAATTAGTACATTTTTAGTTTTTCTTAATTACACATCAGGTTAATTAAAATTTTGCAAGAATTTTTTGCATATTTAAAATGGCATGGTCAAGGGCTTTTCAAATACCTATATTTTATTATTTTTGGTACATGTTTACTATATAACTAGATTTTCCAACAAAAAAATTCCAATTTTTGCAAACTTGCTGATTTTTTGCAGATTCTAAGGAAAATTACCTTTTGGTTCGGTACTTGAGCCGAATATACTTGTTTACTAAACAAAGGAGGAAACAGGTTTTCAGGTCGGAATTTCAGTGTTATACTCTTCTTATTAGACTCTAAGGAAGGCGTTCCTTTATCCTGAAATTCATATTTTAAAGTGACGGGAGGCGTAATTTTATCTTGAAATCTTTTTATGATCAGAGCTGAAAAGAGAATGAGATATCCTTAATTACGATCGCTTAGTTTGATTATCCAATGTTCACACTTTTGATTTTCTTCTTATAATCCTCTTTCTGGATATTTCTACTGTTTACAAGTTACGTTTGATAACAAATACAGATACAATGCTATATCGATTGGACTAATATCCGATTGCATTAAAGTCAGCTATTAACAAGCAGGCTTTTAGAGCATTTAAACAAATATAAATTTAATCATGTTAATATGAAATAATTAAAAAAACAAATTTTAAGACTATTGTCATTTTGAACGTTAGTATTAATAAACATTAATCCAAAACTTACGTTCGATGTTTAATTCAATTGATATGACACCATTAACACCAGAAATCAAAACCGGTTTTTTTCAAAAGTTAAAGAGTATATCTAAACATGACTTACTGATTGGTTAAATTTTTAACTTCTTTCATGGATATCGAAAGGAGTTTAAGCATTAATCTTGATATCCACCGTTCTACAGTTTTTAGCTCAGATATCACTACAAACTCTCCATGGAAGGAGAAGGTCAAAATCAATTGACATTACTCCTACGACTTTGTGACTCCGTTGCTCCTCTAGTTAAGTGTAAAAAAGCAAATTTAAGAAAAGCAAATTTATTTGGTTACATATTAGAAATTCAAAACATTTTTATATTTTAAGCCTAAAAACTAGAAAAGCAAATTTATTTGGTTACATATTGAAAGTACTTTTAATCTTACGGGCATTTTTCTATATTTTGTCGTGAATGCGGAAGATATGGTCGTTTTTCTAGTCCTATTTTATTCAGATAATTCCAATATATTTTTCTGCAGTAGAATTGCGAAAGTCACTTCTATACATAAATTTGGCTTGTCTGTCTGTCTGTCTGTTTGTATCCAATAAACGTCAAAACGGCTGAACCAATCGGGCCCAAAGTTTTTGTGGGACATCTAGGGACCCCAGGGAAGGTTTATGAATCATCAAAATTTCAAATATTTGTCTCCATCAAAATTCGATCTTCATTAAATTTTTGAAAATTTTGAAAATCCACTAAATTTGTTGTGAAAATCCGAGAATTATTTTTGTTTTGTTTTACGATGTACACAAAGAGAACATGTTCACAATTAATTTAGAAGATGGGCGCGAAGCGCTCTCTAAGGCTAGTTTGTAGAGAATCCACAATTGCAAAATTGCAGTTTTCAACATAAACATTAATTTAATTCATATCTGATCAAATGAAGATTTTACTGGTACGGTTGTGAATCGGACATTGCCATCTTTGCACGGTGGACATTAGGTTTACAGGTCCTTCAAGACTTTTCTAACTTTAGAGGAATGAATCTTATAACTCAGAGAATTATCTCCAACTTTTTCCTTTTTCATGTTGTAAACATGATCGAGGGATGTATTTCGATGTAAAAAAAGTAAATTGTTAATGCACTTTAAATAAATTGTTAAATTATGGAAAATATTTTTGTGAATGTGACATTGTGTTGTTTTACAATGTCTAAAGTTTCCCAACATGTGGTTTGTATCTTCAGAAATGCAAGAGATTTTCAAAATTTAAAAAGTTTTGGTTACACAACTGTAAGTACATGACATTCAGACCACCAAGTTTGGAAATCACAGAATTTGGGGAGTAAAATTTTTTTTTTATGACTGTAATTTGGATCGAAAAAGATTTTAAAGTCGTCTCAATTATTTCCCATGTTTATTGGGACACCTTGTATAGCTTAAGTTAATAGTATTTCCGGGGACTCTACAAAATTATTTTTTATAAAATATGAATCACCTTCGCTTTAATTGAAAAAGTGTATTCGGATCCAATATTTGAATCTTCAAATACTGGTTTCTTAAACATCAGGGAAACCAAATATTTTCCAGGTTCAACCATAGTCTCAGAACATTCAATCAATTCCTAGAGAATAAATTGAAATAAATGGGATAGTTCACAGTATTTAACGAGTTTATTAGATACCTGTGGGTCGTCTTCCACCAGACATATAATCTGATTATCAGGAACAGATGCAGATTTATTAAAATCTTTATCAGTTACCTCAAGCTGAATAATATATTGTTATACTTTACTAGTTTTACATCTTTATTAAAATGTGGTTTTGTCTGTCACTGTGTATGTTTGTTTGTATGTTTGTATTTCAACTTTTCATGACTCCAGGGAAGGTTTATGGAATTACAAAAATAAGTCCCACAAATTTTTGATTTTCATAAAATTTTGAAAATTTACAAAAATAAATTGTACATCTGTAAATTTTCTTATTTTTGTTTTATTATAGAGAAAATGTTGAAAGATTGAGCAACAATCAATATTTAAGATAGAAGATGTGCGCGAAGTACCATAATAGTTTTTTAAAAATGTGGCTTTCTTTGCGTGTCAGTTTTTATGTTTGTTTGTATCCTATAAACGTCAAAACGGCTGAACCGATCGGGCCCACATTTTTTGTGGCAACACGCATGACTGAAGTGAGTAAGTATTAGAAAAGCTCACCTTAGCGTTTGGATAAACAATGTCAAAGGGTACACCCGTTGGAAAGGATTTAGGTATATCTTCAAAGGTTTCGGGCTCAGGTTTCGGAAACTCAGGGAATCGATTGTTTTGCACTTAAAATATAGTTATTATTTATTAACAAGCTATAATTCATACTAGAAGACAAAGAAAATTATTTTGGTTTATTAAATTTTAAAAAAGTATTTAAAAGGTTTTGTGGTGCCCCATTTAACAATTAAAAAATATTTGCCGTAGACCCTAAAATTTGTTAATTTTACTACTTACCCACTATTAAGATATCGGTCTTTTTTTCCTCCTAAAAAATCACTCATTATTTTCCTTTTATTTACCTATGATATAGTCATTTGATCATTGCAGCCATGATATGATTTATATAATATATATCTCCCTGGGTGGCCAAACATATCAACTAACTATTTTGTAATACTCACTTAAACAGATATATAAAAAAAATAATTAGATGAAGTAAAAAAGTTAAGTAATATTAGTTATCAGATCCTATTTACCAGTTTTTAAAAGTAAAATTTTTTTTTATCTTAATAAACTTAGATTTACAAGAAAAATAGAGAGAGGACATGGCAGGTATAGGAACTTTTTTAAAGCTACATCCTCTAGGTTTCTTTAGGTCAAAAATCAAATAATTCCTTTTTTAAGAGCTTTATTGCTAAAACAAATTGTTCTAATTTTAAATGTTTAAATATTACTTACGGTTTTTCCAACTTTTGTGTATCTACATGTAACTATTTGTGTTTTCTCCACGTGTTCAACATCATTTAAATCACTTAGATTATCAACCTAGAATTAAGTTTAAAAACTCAATAACTTTATTCAAAACCACTGGTTTCATACCGGACAATAAAGTGGAATGGTTTAAATATATGGAACCACTTTTTTTGTCCCAGCCCAGCTCACAATTTTACTGTCCCGACTGGCTAACTTTTAGTCCTTTCTAGAGCTGAAAACTTTAGAATAGTGGATATTGAGATCTATGCTTGATCTTCTCTTTTTATTAATTTCCAGATTAATTTAATCTTTAGTTTGTATCCTGAAAACTGTATGATATTCAACCAATAAAGTGGCGTATGCAGAAATCCGAGAAGCAAATCAGAAGCCGAGAAGTTTGAAATTTTACGCGCCATTTGACGAGAGAACTCTCATTGGACGGAATCTGTATAGGGATATCCAAAGCAAGATAAAAATGCAGATTAAGCAGTAAATTCCAGTAAGTTCCCGACTGTATATTTCTTTGTTTAACTTTTGAACAGCTAAGCACTAACACAAGCAAACATTTTCCCCTAATGGATACTTAAATACTTACCCACATCTTATAAAATTCTCCAGTTTCGTCTTCACGTATTTGAAAATTGTCAGGGTAGATGTTTTCCACAATCTCAACAGCTAAACACATAGTTACTGTTTATGTGTAGAGTGACAGGTCTGATTCACAATCACAAGGGTACCTTTAAACTCTGTCTGATTAAGAACAAAGAAGATATCCATATTTTAATGCCGTGGTCATCATATGGAATACAAAATACAAAATATATATACAAAATCGTTTATCAAAAGAGTATGTCATCTTTAAGAAACTACATTATAATTATTAAGCTAGCTATAATACATCTCTAACTAAAATAATGAATAATTATGAATAAACTTTTTAATGAAAAATAAATCTCAACTTTTGACTTTTAATAAATTTTGGATCCAACCACCAAAGAACTTAAATAACGAAAATAAGAACTTAAAGTAGGGCTTGGCGCGTTCCTGGTGGAACAATCGTTCTTTCCCGAGAACAAACGGAACGATCAAGAACGATCCCATCGTTCTGAAAAAAAGGCTTAGAACGCGTTCTTAAAAATATTGGAACGATTAGTAAAAGAACAGAACGAAATGGAACGAGAGTTGCTTGAAAAGAACGGTCAAAATCGTTAACGTGTTCTTATTATCAAGAACTTGGTCTATGTTGGGAACGCATTTTAAATCAGGAATGTGTTCCATGAGAGGAGGATCGCATTCTGAGAATCATGATTAGTTAATTTTTTTATCATAATATCAGTATTTTTATTTAATTTTGATAAGTTCAATACTCTTATCTCTTTTCATAAAATAAATAGCAAATATCTTTGTGTTTTGGAAAAAATGAATCAACAACGATCGTTTATAAAGTCCATTTATTTACATAAATCAAAATATTTATAGAAATATTTTACTGATTTATAAAAAACAAATATTAAAAGAATGAATTTACTTGTTAATAGAGTTTGAAATATTTTCCGGTTTTACAAGATTTTTGGGCCTTTGAGAAACTTTTTGGTCTTAAAAATTTTGTTATAATTTGATAAACGGAAATGTTTTAGCTGGATATAACTAGTTTGACTATATCAGTCTAAAATGTTGTTATAAATACATAAACACATATTAACAAAATATCAACATTGTACCTGTACAAAATGTTTTAAGGTCATTTTAAAAAACAAACAAAAAAATTTGTGCTTTTACAAAACTAATTAACGATAATTTTCTGCCTTGAGGTTGGCCAGCAGTCAGTTCTTTGCAGTTTACAAATTCTCCAAAATACCCAGGTTCCAGCCGAACCTCTGATCAAATAAAACTATCAATTTTTTTTTCTTCATATTTTGTTTTTTGTTAACTACAGTGATAACCAGAAAACTGTAGGGTAGGAAGACGAAATTAAAGAAATACTGAAGTGCATTTGATGCAAATAGCTTTACAAGAAAATTGTTAAATCCCAAATTAAGTGTAATGGGTCTGTTTACACTGCACAATTGCTGTATCACATGTTCAATGGAATATTCAAAGTCATAACTTGATGCTAAGAGTCATTTTCATTTTCCAGAGTTTTCTTGTTATTACTGCATGTTCATCCAAATAATATCCTTCTATAACTAGAATAGCTGTAATTTGGTTTGGGAGGTGTTTTGCCAGTATCTAAATTGGAACACGATCACATGCATCACTTGCTATCAATTCTATCTTGCAATCTTAATCAGTTGCTTTCAGCCTACTGTGCTATCCAAACATTTGCTATCAAACTAGTTTACTATCAACTCAGTTCAATCACATTCATTTGCTATCAAGCCTCACTTGCTATAAGGCGTATCAATCATCAGTTGCAATCAACAATTTTGCTATCAATCATCATTTGCTATAAAATTTTCGACTTGCTCTCAATCCTTATTTTTACCATTTTCTTCCCTAAAAATCTGCAAAATAAATGAAATTTCTCAAAATTTGAATTTCTTCATTCTCTGTCAAAGTTTGTGTAGAACCAACCTAAAAGATAGAAACAACTACCTGTATTTCCACTACAAAGACGGGGCAAACATAAACACACATTTAAAATCAATATTATTTGGAGAAATATATATTTAAACTGTTTTTAATAAAGCAACTAAGAATTAACTGGTTTTGATAATAACTGACTAAGAAGGCAACTAGGTTTTGATAGCAAATTATTTAAAGAGCAACTTGGTTTTGATAGCAACTTATTTAGAGAGCAACTAGTTTTTGATAGTAATTTATTTAGAGAGCAACTAAGTTTTAATAACAACTTATTTAGAGTGCAACTAGTTTTTGATAGCAATTTATTTAGAGAGCAACTAAGTTTTAATAGCAACTTATTTAGAGTGCAACTAGGTTTTAATAGCAACTTATTTAGAGAGCAACTAGGTTTTAATAGCAACTTATTTAGAGTGCAACTAGTTTTTGATAGCAATTTATTTAGAGAGCAACTATAGGTTTTAATAGCAACTTATTTAGAGTGCAACTAGGTTTTAATAGCAACTTATTTAGAGAGCAACTAGGTTTTAATAGCAACTTATTTAGAGAGTAACTAAGTTTTGATAGCAACTTATTTAGAGAGCAACTAGGTTTTGATCGAAACTTATTTAGAGAGCAACTAGTTTTTGATCGAAACTTATTTAGAGAGCAACTAGTTTTTAATAGCAACTTATTTAGAGAGTAACTAGGTTTTAATAGCAACTTATTTAGAGAGCAACTAGTTTTTGATAGCAACTTATTTAGAGAGCAACTAGGTTTTAATAGCAACTAAGAACATATTTTAATAGCAACCGGACTATTTTCAAGGGAGGGATCGAGAAATAAAAGGTAGACTGTCGAAGTGTACTGTATAAATCACTTTATTATACACACCGCCAGCTAAGTCTGAGATATTTTTGATTAAAACGTTTTGAAAATTACAGAAAAAGCCAGTTGGTATCTTTTTACAGTGCAAAAAAAATCTTTGGATTAAAAAAAGGGATAAGAGACTCAAATTCTGGTTTAAATAGTTAAATCAATTTTTTAAGTAGATTCATTTTAAAAGTAGATTTTCAACTTTGAAATTACTTGTGAAACTGAAACATCAACTACACATAGGATTGCCCAAAATTTATCATATTGTACCACAGTTTTATGGCCCCCCTAGACCTCCATTGAGACATATACCTCGAAAAAGGCTAAAATCAGAAGACATCTTTTAGATTTATATTTAGATTGAGAATTTAGCGCAAATTATTTTCTTAGTCTATAACATATATTAATATTTGTAGAAGACATAGGGAGAATGCTTTTTAAATTAATTAACATTCTTTTTTTTCAAACGAAAATAAACAGAATTTAGAATAACTTATTTCTTTGTCCACTTTTGATATGCAGGGTTACCCACAACGAATGAGATTGTAAAGACGACCTCAAGCTATTTATTAAAGACGACCTCAAGGTATTTATTTACCACTTTTCCAAGGTTCAAGAAAGTATTCTGCCATGAATGAAGTTTTTTTATGACCTTTATGTAGATTGAGAAAGGAGAGAAACAAATTTACAGTTGAAGAAATCATAATTCTAAGGAAAAAAACAGTGTTAATTCCGTACAGTCATCTCTGAAGTCTCAGCCTTTGTGGTTAGCCCTGTAATTGCATATTTCATTGTAAAAATGAATTGATAGTTTTATTCTCCTGCAGCTAGTGTAAGTATGATTAAAATGGCGTGTATGCCCCCCATCACGGAAACAACTGATTTCTCTGTTTTATGTTTATCAGTGGAAAGATAACAGATAAGTATGATTAATTAAACTATTAAGTAGAAATTTGCACTCTATACACCTTTTTTCATACAAGCTTAAGAGTCCGTCGTTGCCCGTGGATTTTAAAAAACACTTGCAAACAAAGATTTCGAATTTTGAAAACAAAAATCTCGAATTTTAATACCAAAAATTTTGAATTTTTATACCAAAAATTTTGAATTTGAAAAGAAAAATTTCAAATTTTAAAAACAAAAAATTTCGAATTTTAAAACCAACAATTCCGGGCCATCCGTGGGTTTTCAACAAAAAAAATATATATATGTTTCAGTTTTTAAACTTCACATTTTAAAAAATAATTATACTAAACATAATGTTTGACTTATGACTTAACTTCAAGCAAGTTTGTATGGTAAGATTTGATACTCTGGAGTATCTCCAATTTACTAGAAATATCGTCTTCAAAGCAATAAACATTCAAAATCCTCATATGACATAATTGATTATTGGCGGATACTACAGTGCCAATGTTGCTGCGCTTTTTACAGCTGACAAGACGAATTTTCTAGTTTATCTAACCCTACCTTACAACCTTGACTTCAAGTAACCCTCTCTTTAAAGTTGTTTCCCTGAATAACAACTGAAAATTGATTACTTTCGAAACCAGTTTTCTATGTAAACATTACTCGCGGATAAATTCAAGAAAACGACGATATCTTCCTTAATAATACTGAAAAAAGGGGTTAAAGGGGGCAGCTGTAAATCAGGTATTTAAATGGAGGGTTACTTGAAGTTCTGTTAAAGGGACTGTAAGCGTAGTTTCAATTAAACTTCAATTTAAATTTAGATTCACAACAGTACCCTTAAAACCTTTGAATATATAAAGTGATTTATTTTATAGATTTCAACATATGAATTCTGTTAGCTAAGATATTCAAAATTTGAAAAATGAAAAGTTTGCGCTAGGAGGTTCAAAGAGATTATGAAATTAAACAAAACATGAAACTTTTATCATATCATTGCATAGATTTCCTCTTTTCTATACATACTATTACAGAGTAATTTCATCAAATTTTACCTTTTCCTAATTGTTAGATTAGAGTGTTTCGTCCTCTTGTCGTTTTAAATTTCCATTGTTATATATATTTGTTATACATACAATAATCAACTTCCGGTATTGGATAGATAGATAGATCCTGAAAGTGTTTATAAATAATCAAGTTGTTCCCAAGGTTTCACCTAAGGAAGGAACACTAATAATTAAAATAAGTGATTAACTTCAAGGGACCCCTCCAAAGATTGGCATGTCAAATTTACAACAGTTAAGAGAGTTGAGAAAAATGAGATAGATATCGTCGTTTTATATTGTTAAAAGTGGTAATTCTAGCAATATAATTCATTGTTAATTTTTAAAGAAACGGTTTTCAGCTGAAAAGGTAAGCATATCTCAATTTAGGTAGAATATAGCTTTATGTGAATCTGAAGTCTCTCTTTGACTGGAGGGTCTAAACTCCCTTTGATTTAGTTAATTTCAATGTGATCAAAAAAAAAAAATCCGACGATTTATGAATCTGCAATGTAAAAAGTCAAAATTGAACGTTGCAGAATTCTGAATCCAAAAATCATTAATGACCTTTTCATTTCATGCTTTTCAGATTACAATTGTCACAAATAAAATTAGCAGATTTTTTACCTTTTATGAAAAGAAATCAATCAATTAATTCAATTAGGATCAGCTCAGCCATTTTATTCGATATTTCCGTCAAAAGAGGATTATAAAGTCGTCTTCCTGAATAATTCAACATGTTTTCTGCCCGTGCTTAATACAGTGAGAATGATAAAACTGTGGAATAGAAAGACGACATTGTAGCAATATTTAAATTTATTTTATAATGTTCCAAAGAAAACAGATTTACTAGTAACTCATCAAATCACTTATTGAGTTAAATGGGTCTGTTTACGCTGCCCACTTGTTGTGTCTCACTCTCATGATTATTGGACTATAAAAGTCATAACTTAAGTTTCAAAGCCGTTTTTCTATTCCAGAGAGGTAAAATTTCCAGGTCTTCTCGTTTTTTTTGCAGGGCTGGTCGGTTTATATTTCTGAAACTATTCACATTTTTATCCAAAAAAAAAATGTTGCTATAAGCTAATTGTTTTATCATGGTTTGCGCAACTCTTATTTCCACTTCAATAAAATATAGAAAAGTAAAGTTGTGTCCAGTGTTTATTATTCCCCCTGTATAGAGTACAGCTGGACAAGGTAAACACGATGAAAAGATTTTTTAGAAAATCTAAGCAGGATGTTTCTATCACAGACGAGGAAGCTACGTTAGACAACATTCTTAAGTATTCAAATATCATTTTATATCTATTTTGTTTTATGTGTACTTCATGGTCAAATTGCATTTTACTGAAAAATTACGTCTCTAAAGGCTGTTCATATATGTTTATAAATTGCAATGAGAAAAGGTGTGAATATAAAAAAACATATTTTAACTATGTTACGTATTTTCCTTAAGATTTTTTTCCCAAGCAGCAACTTCCAAAGGGTATTTCCCCAAATGTGCAATTTCCCAAGCTGCAACTTCTCGATTCTGTCCCACCCACCCAACGCTTAGTCTGCACTGTGATTTAAAGGTTGCAAGCGTTGCGACACTTCAAAGTCGACCCTTTCTTAAAAATTTATGAGACTTTTTTCAAGCAGACTGAACCTAAGTGAGCCGCAGCTCTCGGCATTCAAGATTAACAATATGTAGACAAAAGTCTCGAGTTAAGCTCTTATTTATTTATTTTAGTTAAAATCAAAGGGAAACACGTTTTTTTCTCAAGGCATTCAGTTTATCGTAATTTGCGCGCTCACTCCCTTTATTCAGGGATAAAAGTGCCGAGAAAAAGAGAATAGAACGAGAAGAGGAAGAGTTTCAAAAACAGAGAAGAGGAAGAGAAAGAAAACTGATTCAACTAGAGAAAAAAGAATTGTGTAAACGACAAGCTAAGGTCAATTTATTTTCGAAACAACAGACAACAGTGATAAGTTTGAAAACAATGAAAAGGAAGACGACATTTTAACAATACTTAAGTTTAGTTGATGGTATTACAAAACAGATAAGGTAAATCACTGATTTAAAAAATGGTTCTGTACAGTTGTTCATGCTCATTAGACATTTTAAAGTTATAAATTGAACTTAAAATCCGCCTTCCTATTTCGGAGTTTTCTGGTTAATCTTGAAATATATTAGTAATAGTAACTCTACATCTTTATTGTTTGTCTTTTGTCAAAAAAATACGAAAACTTTCGAAGTCGTCTTCTTTGATCGTATTTTCTTTTTGAAAATTCAAAAATTCATTTAAACGTACAGGGTGTCCCACGAAACATGGCAATAGCAAGACGACTTGAAAGTCGTCTTTGATATTTGAATTTATTTGTGCCATTTAGTCTTCTATCTACTTTAACATGTATGATTCTTGTAACAATTATCACATAATTCTCCTAGCCCTGGCATTTCCAAAAAGTGGTCTGCGTTTTTTGTGCTTTCAATATTACCGGAGATATAAAGAGTTTGGTTCAGATNTTTTTTCTCTTTTCTTTTGGTTTTCAAAAAAAAATTTATTTAAACAAATTTAAACTACACCATTTATATATGTATTTATATCTTTGTGTGTGAATAAATCTTTATAATAATAATATCATTTTGGATAGTTTATTGCACTAAATTGCGATTTTCAGAACTAATCAGAAAATTTAAAAAGAATGAATCGTTCTTAAAAATTGTAAAAGCCTAATTTGACAATTTGCATTCGGTTTTTCGAGTATAATATGCGTATTTCAGCGTTAAATCTAGGAAATAATTAATTCAATATGATATGGAACGCTCTGTAAATAAAGTTGTAATAACAGTTTGTTTGTTGGTTCGATCATAACTTAGGAACCCCTGGACCGATTTGGCTCAAATTTTGATTGGGGAACTCGGGAGAGCCACGGGAATGTTCTTAGTTTGGTTTTAAGATTCCAAGTTGGGTGGGTCGACTCTTATTTCGAAAATTTAGTTCCCCGGTAAAATTGACCAAGTGCGGGTAAACGGCAGGAGTAACTATGAGTAGCCTGGGCAACGCTGGGTTCCCAAGCTATGTAGTTATAATGAAAGATGGATTTTAATATATAGATAAATAGATAGAAGATATGAAGATAAATAGATTGACAATCATTTAGCATGCATTCAAAATTGTTAAATCATCCTGCGTTTTTAAGAAAAGTATTTAATAAAAAGCAATGTACAGTTTAATTGAAGATTAACTTCTGGTTTAGAAGAACAGATTAAACTGCTGAAGATTAAGCTTGAAGATGTTCAAATTGATCACAAATATGAAGAAACACAACTAGAAAACATTATAAGGTAAAACAGTTAGAAGGAAAACATCATTAAGAATAAAAAATATATTATAATGAGAAAATAACAATGAAAACATCATTAATGATAATACAGTGATAACCAGAAAACTCTGGGATTCGGAAGACGACTTTATAGCAATACTTTAGTGCATTTGATGTTGTTACAAAGCAAATAGATTTTAAGACACTAATTAAATTCACTAATTAAGTGAATTTAGTCTGTTAAAACTGCTTAGTTGCTATTCCCCATTCTCATTGGACTACTTAAAATGCCAAATTGCTGTTTTTGTAAATTGTAAATTTAACCAGATGCAGCCTAAAGTGGGACCGCGTCAACCTAGTTGCACGGGACTGCCCTGCAGACGGAGTTCTATAGATGTAAATAGCCCCAAATTCAAAATTTGTGTTAAATGTAATTTTTTCAGTGCGTCTGTGGGCCTTCCAAAATTAAAATAAAACAACTTCAAATCAATTTTTCAACTTTTCAAAATTTTGATTCCATTTCAAAAATATGATTTTATTTAGCAAAATCATGCGTTTCTGCGCCGCGCAAAAAAGCATTAAAATCACACTTGAAAAAAAATTCAACAATGCATGTTTTTTCCTTGCGCTTGTGCGTGTTCATTGCAATTTTTCAACTTTGTTAAAAACTTTGATTTCACACTTGAAAAAAAATTCAACAATGCATGTTTTTTCCTGTGATTTTCATGCTTTTTTGCGCGGCGCAGAAACGCATGATTTTGCTAAATATTTTCATATTTATGAAATGAGATCAAAGTTTTTAACAAAGTTGAAAGATTGCGATGAAAACGCACAGGCACAAGGAAAAAACATGCATTGCTGATTTTTTTTTCAAGTGTGATTTTATTTTGATTCACGATCATCACAAATAAAAGAAAAGATTCTATGATAACGCACAGACGCATGGAAATATTGACATATAACCCAAATTTTGATTTTGGGGCAGTTTACACCAATACGACGGAGCTTGGCTAAATTTATTGACCCCTGCCTTAAGTCTGCCAGTGTAGTTGGTGTAACAGGTGAGTCAGTAAAAACTAGGATTGTAAAGGTTGGTTCAGTTTAGATTCAAATGTACATAAGTTGAGTGTGATGAGTTTAACTGATCCTGAATGATACATCCCTCTTGCGGCAGAGAGTTCAACCTCGGCATTTTAAACTCACTCTAATTGATCACTTTGCTCTTGCCAGGCTACATTGTTGAATAAAATGCGCTGGGTTGACTTTACATAGGGTAATTCAGACTGGACAGGACAATTGATTACAATCCAGATGTAAATCTTAGGAATTTCAAGATCAATCAAATCTGTTTGTAAAGAGAAGTGTCTCCTGCTCAGCTGCTTCATGTGATGGACTTGCAACAGGTCTGTGAAGAGCTGTTCCACAATGAGCGGCGTCTCCATAATCAGGATCCTCTGGTCCTGCTGTTGATTCCACAACAGGTGTGTGAAGATCTGCTCCACATTGAGCGGCGTCTCCATACTCAGGATCCTCTGGTCCTGTTGTTGATTCCACAACAGGTGTGTGAAGAGCTGCTCCACAATGAGAAGCGTCTCCATACCCAGGATCATCTGGTTTAACTGCTGATTCCACAATGTCTTTAAAGAGCTACTCCACTAACACCGGTGTCTACATACTCAGAATCCTCTGGTTCTGCTATATTGATTCCACAACAGGTCTGTGAAAAGCTGCTCTACAATGAGCGCCATCTTCGTACTCAGAATCCTCTGAAGAGTATTGAGCAGCTTGTGATATACTGGCTGGGTAATTTAGTTCTCCTTGTACGAACACTGTAGCTGCTCCAAGTCTCCAGTAGCTCTGTTCATAGAACCAACTAGAGAATATATCTTGCTCTGTAGTTGGACTGGCTGGACTATAGTTGGACTTGTTTGGATATCCTAGTTCTTCTGTATGTCCTGGAAGTCCTAGCTCTCCTGTGTGTCCTGAATATCCTAGTTCTCCTGTATGTCCTGGAAGTCCTAGCTCTTCTGTGTGTCCTGGGTGTCATAGTTCTCATATGTGTNTGTATGTCCTGGAAGTCCTAGCTCTCCTGCACGTCCTGAAAGTCTAAACTCTACTGTGTGTCCAGGATATCCTAGTTCTCCTGTATGTCCGGGAAGTCCTAGCTCTTCTGTGTGTCCTGGATATCCTAGTTCTCCTGCATGTCCTGAAAGTCCTGGCTCTCCTGTGTGTCCTGGATATCCTAGTTCTCCTGCATGTCCTGAAATTCCTAGCTCTTCTGTGTGTCCTGGACATCCTAGTTCTCCTGTATGTCCTGAAAGTCCTAGCTCTTCTGTGTGTCCTGGATATCCTAGTTCTTCTGTATGTCCTGGAAGTCCTAGCTCTCCTGTGTGTCCTGAATATCCTAGTTCTCCTGTATGTCCTGAAAGTCCTAGCTCTTCTGTGTGGCCTAGAGATCTTAACTCTCCTGTATGTCATGGAAGTCCAAGTTCTTCTGAGTGTCCTGGATATCCTAGTTTTCTTGTGTGTTCTGGAAATCCTAGCTCTCCTGTGTGTCCTGAATATCCTAGTTTTCCTGGGTGTCCTGGATCCACCCGCTGCTCTAAATATCCAGTGGCTCTGTTCATAGAACCAGCCAGAGCATCATCTGATCAGATCAGAGGTCGGAATAAAACTAATATAGATTTAAATCAACTAGGGGCAATTTATCGCTTTCCATTAAATTCAATCTCAGGTACCAAAGTCAATGAATTTGATCTGCATACTGCCCGATTCAAATTCTTCCTAAATCTTTAGTTTTAAAATAGTGGGTAAAAATTGTTTGTTCAGCAACGTAGCTCAAATTTATTAAATCTGACCTCAAGTATCAATTTAATACTACCGTTCAGTTGTCTATAGCATCGACTTCATCACTTATATATTTGCAAGCTTATCAAGTTAAACGTACTTCAAAACTTCAAAACTGTTAATCAGGATCAATCAGTTTTGCTGGATCATGAAATTTAAAATTTTCCTGCAAAGAAAATATCAATTTTGCTTTATCAACTGTTAAAAAAAAAACCTAAAAGTACACGTTTTAATACGATGTTAGGTACTTTCCCGAAGGATTTTCCCAATCGGCAACTTCCAAAGGTTTTTTTTCCCAAATTGTAACTTGGAAAGTCGCCCTTGGGAAAATGCCTTTTGGAAAATACCTAACACTTACATTACTGCTTATTACAACACAAATTGAATATTGCTAAACTGTTTACTTTTTTAAAAAATCAGCGGAAGAAAATAGAATAAAAAGGTCAATAATAAATGAATCACTAAAAGTTCAAATCATATTTTTTTTTGACACAGCTTGTTAGTTTTTTTTTTTACAAACAACAGTACGTTTTAAGAGCTCCTGGAGTTTAGGACCAAATCTTTTGGATCCAGGTCAGTGTAAAATTAGAAACAAATAAATATTTGTAAAATTATGAAAATTTCATGAATGGCTATACTCTAACAAAAAGGAGTCTTTTTTCATTCAAACTTTATAACATTTTCGAGATAGTAAGAAATATTTTTTTTTGACACAGCTTGTTAGTTTTTTTTTTTACAAACAACAGTACGTTTTAAGAGCTCCTGGAGTTTAGGACCAAATCTTTTGGATCCAGGTCAGTGTAAAATTAGAAACAAATAAATATTTGTAAAATTATGAAAATTTCATGAATGGCTATTGGCTATACTCTAACAAAAAGGAGTCTTTTTTCATTCAAACTTTATAACATTTTCGAGATAGTAAGAAATATCTAACTAATCACATATGTTTCTCTTTTTATATAGTTTATCTAAAAAGCAATTTTCAAAAACCTCTTCTATAGGGGGACTAACATTGTAATTTCATGTAAATTGTGCTAGATGCGATTCACAATGATGACCTTTATTGTAAATCATAAATGAAGAAATAATGATGGATTCACTTTCGTTTGTTTTTGTTAAAAAATGCGCCCACAATTATTCTTAAAAGCGCCTTATGGATTTTTGCCACAATAGGAAAAAAATACTTTATAGTTCACCTGCACGCCTAATTCTGTTGCATAAAACCCCTCAGGTCAACAACACATTGGGAACACTAGACGGGCTGGTACGGTAAAGACAAGACTAGAACTGCTGTACCGGTTTAGAACTTTTGAACTAATGTGAATTCTGAAACTGGTTTGAAGAGCAATGATTCGTTGTGATTCGTTTATGGCACACACTTTTTAAAGGACAATTTTTAGAGGTTCATTTGAAAATATGATGACACTACCTTTAAGTGCTGTTGATATACGTCCTAGAGGAGAGGGAGTTGAGTCCCGAGGGAGTAGGAGTACCTCCAGGGGGAATAGAAATATATATATGGGGAGTAGAAGTTTATCTATGGGGCGGGATGGAACACCATCCGCTCCCCCCGGTGAATATTCGGTGGCCAGGTAAAAAAATGAACTTTTAAAAAATGTTCTTTGAAAACACGTCAATTTGAGCGAACTGAGACTTGAGAAATGTGTGTAAAGTTCTCCAAACCCGCTTATATTCAGCTGCAAATTATTGTATGCGCTGTATTGACTTAAATACTCAACACAGCGCACAGTTGAATTTACAAGCAGGTTTTGATAAGTTTAAACACACATATCTCTGTAGGAAAACATAAAAGGTTTTAAGAGTACCATTGTTAATCTTTGCATGGTGTTTCACTTGAATTTACGCATACAGTCCCTTAAAATATTTTTAAAAGAAATTTAGATTTAAAAACACATTTGAAACTTAATTTTCTAGAATTGATGAAGTAAATTCTGACGAAGGACTTGAAACTGAAGATGAAGATAATGTAAATGATAATGTAAATGATTATGTAAATGATGACACTTATGAAACAGTTACTCTTGTGGCAGAGGATTCCCTTGAACATCCGGAATAAGAATTCAAAATCATCTTTATTTATTAATGTATCTTATCTTTTTATTCACATGTTAAATATATATCAACCTCACCCAATCTTATTCTGATCTACGGATTAATTTAATTCCTTTTCGATATTCCGTGATGGTCCAAAAGTGCCCCATTGGATATCGAGATCAAGCGTTCAAGTTATTTTATCTAATTTTGCATTCATTTTATTAAATAAATTATGCACTTCGTAATTTATCATAAATTAAATTAAATACAAACACTTCGTAATTAAGCATAAATTAAATTAAATACATTCACATCGTAATTTATGATAAGTTAAATTAAATACATTCGCATCGTAATTTATGATAAGTTAAATTAAATACATTCACATCGTAATTTATGATAAATTAAATTAAATATATTCACATCGTAATTTATCATAAATTAAATTAAATACATTCACATCGTAAATATCATAAATTAAATTAAAAACATTCACATCGTAATTTATCATAAATTAAATCAAATACATGCACATCGTAATTTATCATAAATTAAAATAAATACATTCACATCGTAATTTATCATAAATTGAATTAAATACATTCACATCGTAAGAGGGGCGAAGGGCGCAATAAAAGCCTAATTTATGATATATATATATTATATACAGATACGAACTATATTCTGTATACACAAGATGTATCCCAGATTAGATTTCAAACCTGTCTGTCATATTCAATAGAAAAACATACACAACGGAACAGATAAAAAATATTGATGAAAGCAGATCTTATTCTTCAGTATCGTCTAGGATACAAATTAGGTTGATAGATCAGAATATATCATTGTTTTAACAAATATTTTATTTCAAAATAATTTTTACTTTTTCCCAGAATAAAAACATTTTTTATCATTCATTTGAAGAAAAGGTGACAAGAAACATGGCAAAAACACAAAAGAAACTATTTGAGTTCAACATTCCTCTGTGTTGTGTTGTATGAACACAATTCAATCAGAAGGAAATACAAATACACTCTAAACTCTATACTCTACACTCTACACTCTAACGTAAAATGTACGTTTTTGTACATTATGTTACAATAATATCAAACTCTACACTCTACACTCTAACGTAAAATGTACGTTTTTGTACATTATGTTACAATAATATCAAACGTTTAGATATAGTCTATAAAACGTGAACGTTGATTGTTAATGTTATAGGAAGTGATACCTAACGTTAACGTTTTGTGGAAACGTAACATTATTTTTCTAATATCTACAACATGTTTTACAATGATGTGAAGAAACATTTTGTTTCCAGGAGCAGTTTGAAAGTCCAATGTTTGAAAAATTAATTATGATTTGATTGAATATTGTAACAAAAGGATTTCTATTTCAAAGTTCAACTTATAAAAATTGTAACGTTGTATAACTGAAAAATGTATTTCTATTTATGAAAACGTTTTGAAACGTTTTCCCCAATAGTATATTTAAAAGTTCAACGTTTCAGAAATGGGTTATTGATTTAATAATCAGGAAACGAAAGTTTTTATACAGAGTATAAATTTAAATAATGTAACGTATAACATTTTAAAAACTTCTGTAAACTTCACAACTTTTCTCTGAATACATAATTGAGAAGTCTAACGTTAGATATATGTCTGATGAAAATAATGTTCATAAAACGTAAGGTTATGAGGGCTAAGTTTTAATTTCAAAAGTGTAACAATAATTGTGCCAATCAAAACATTTCAAAACGTCTCTAATCTATCAATGTAAGAGACGACTTATGATTATGACAGCAAAGTTTAATGGTTTTTCATTTCAAGTTTAAAGGAAATGAGTTTATGAAACAAACTCTAATAATTTTACCTTTGTACCATTTTACCTTTGTGTACGAAATAAATCTATAGTAAAAATAATAATAAAAACATCAAAAAAAAATAACTAAACTTTCGGAACAAATTATAATTTTCTAACCTCTTTATCTTTGTAAGCTGGTGTTGTAGAGTTTTGATCTTTCAAACTATGAATTCTGTTGGAGAAGAAAGTCTAAAGGAGTTGAGTTGTTGTCACAAACTTATATTTTCAATCCCTATATCTTTGCTAGCTAATTTTGTAGACCTTAGATATTTCAAATTATGAATTCTGTTAGATAAAAGAAATTCCACAGGAGGGTCAGTTTGCATTGAGTAAAAATGAAAAAATAGCCCTAAATTAACGTAAAATAATTTATAGATCTACTGTTCCACATACAAGAGTGGTTTGCCTTGCCGAATTTTAACTCATTTTATGAAGTGTCCCAAAACATGTCTATTTTTTAAGCTCGTCAAATACACACGATCATAATTTCAAGTGATCCTCCATTTAAAGAGGGCCATGATCGATTCCCAATAGTACCACTACCGTGTATACCTTTATCTGATTGCTGATTTTTCCTATCTTGTAAGTGTAAGCCGGTCATGCCACTCCATAAATGGAAGTTCGCTTGAAATTACGTCTCTAGTCCCTTTAAGACACACTATTGAGTCGAAACTCCAATACTAAAAACTTTCATTCACAAATTTAAAAAACAGTTCAAACCTAACATCTTTATATTGCTGCATTCTCATACACATTCTCTAAAAAGGTTAGCTATACAACAGCAACATACAGGGTGAGTAAAAAAGAGATTAACGACACAATTTTTTTGCATGGTTCGTGTTTTAGGTCGAAAGTACGAAAGTAGGAATTCAATTACCACAAACAAAATCTTTTGGTGCTTTCATTTAGAAACAATAATTTGTTTAAATAAAGTGTAACGTAAGAAACGTTAAGACCTGAACATTTTAGTATACAACGTAACGTAAAGAACATTATAGTATACAACGTAACGTAAAGAACATTATAGTATACAACNTCCCCTTGATCCTATCTAGCCCCCCCCTTGATCCTATCAACATATGCAGATTGAAAGAATGGACCCCACATTTAGAATATCGGATGTCTATATGTAATAAATACAGCAATCCCTATATTTGTTAACCTGAACATATCTAGATATGTTACATTGTATACATTGTCTGTAAATCTAAATGCGCTTATGATTGATTACGCAAAACTTGAAATGCAATAAACCAAACCTAGCTATGTCTGTAAATACGTTAAAACCTGTATTGTGATTAACCAAACCTAGCTATGTTTGTAAATACGTTAAAACCTGTATTGTGATTAACCAAACCTAGCTATGTTTGTAAATACGTTAAAACCTGTATTGTGATTAATTTATAACTACGTCTGCAGTAACTGGATTAACTACGCTTATATATCTGGGCTAATCTTGAAAATACGTATATGAAAGTTAATCTGTAAAATAGATATGTAAATAGATATGTAAATAGATATGTAAATAAACATTAGTTGGAAAAAATTCCGTTTTGATTACGGTGAGAGAGTAATTCGTTCCTTGTCTAAATGAACGAGATACAAGATTGTGTCCATTGATTTGACATTGATAGCGTGTGTGCTATGTCTGGTTGACANCTATCCATGGGAGAATACGGGTAAAGAAGGCCTGAAAAGGTTACTTATGATTATTAAAAGGTTCTTGGGATCAAATTCCAGAGCCAAATATTAACTGTGAGTAAATCAAACCGTTTCTTATCTTGTCTCCGGTTTTTAACTTCTCGGCATTACTAAGGGCGACAAAATCAGGTCAAAATAAAGACGACCTTCTTTTATATATAATACATTTAGGTATCCAAGAGGACCAACTTTAAAAGTTAAAAAAACTTTTTTGGGTAATTGCCCATTAAGATGGAATCCATTGAAATGTTTTTAAAAATCTTAAATTCCCGGAGATTATATGTTCAAAGAACCTCCAAAAATTGTTTTTAAAAAAGGAGAATTAAGAACGTTTTAGGGTTTACACTTACACTTATTTGTTTGATGTTTTTATTTTTATTTCAACAAATTCGAGTTCTCTGATTGAAAATGAACAAATATTGATTTGGAACATGATTATTTCATGAACTGTTTTTTTAAAACTTTTTTTTTAGCAGTTTTTGAAACCTTAGAGGTGATTATATTTCCTTGAATTTATAAGCTGTAGAAGATTGATTGTTGCCGTTTGATGAACTTTCCATTTTATTTTGTTCACCACTGTTTGTTTTTAGTTAGAAACTCACAATCAGTTTATTGTCAACAAATCTAGATTACAAACTTTATTAGACTTTGTTATTGGTTTTCTAAAAGATAATTTTCTCTTCATTAGTATAATTAATGAGAGATGGAATGCTTTAAAAGATCATAAAAGATCTGCTATTTTTGACTCATTTTAAAGTAAAAAATTATGTTAAAGTCACAACTTTTTTGGTTTAATATTTTTTTCTTTGGCTATTTTTTATCTATCTATCTATCTATCTATCTATCTATCTATCTATCTATCTATCTATCTATCTATCTATCTAT